AGAGAGAGAGAGAGAGAGAGAGAGAGAGAGAGAGAGAGAGAGAGAGAGAGAAGACTCTCGACTCTGAATGCATATGTATAGGCATATAGCCAACAAAAAGACGCTTTTCAAACACAGATCGCACAGCAGAATAATCTTCGGTGGCGTTGTGCAATCGGGGCTATACTACATGTAGCAGAGGAACCCCATTAACTACCAGCCATGATGTTTACGCCAACTTCATGCTCATCCAAGGGTGGTGATATAATGAGGTTTGACTGTAGTGTCCTTGGAAACGGCAAATTTACAATAGGCCCATTATCCTATAGTTTTTGTTGCTGTTGTTTTGTTGTTGTTTTTGGTGTCTTTGCTCAACATTTTTCAATAAAATCAATGCAAGAATTAATTTTTTAACTGGACATAAAACAAAAGAGCGAGCAAAACTTCTTTTTAAAAATATGGATAAAAATTACCAAACGGTCTGAAAATGACGATTTCCTCGGTTTCATTATTTTGATGAGCGCTGATTTCACTATGATGCGACACAAATATCACGATCACTCCAACAATGTTTATTTCCGATAATTTTAGGCCTAATTGTCATGTGTATCGTCTCATTTCATTAGTAATGTCGAAGTTAGATTGTTGGCATGGTCGCTGCTGTTCAGGGACCCAACTTGGGTATATTGAGGAGTTTATAATTGTTTATTTGGTCCTTTCATTACTGACCCTGGAGACTATGGCCTTGTTTTTGAAGTCTAACTGGGAGATATCGTCATTAATTCTAGCAGAGGTACAAGGGTTACCTAGTCAGAAGATCGACTTGCTCGTTTCCTTTGATGCCTGCATAGCCAAGTTTGGATCTGACAAGAGAAATGTAAAAGTAGAGGGGGTGTTTGGAGTCTCCACGGTACCCCAGTCCAGGTGAGACAAAGCTTTAAGGACACGTAAGGCTCTCTGGCACCTCAAGCGAAGGTTTTTAATAATACGAGGTATGAATGTTAAATCTAGTTAGCTTTCCGGGTTTTTTTTGGTGTGTTTTTTTGTGTTGTTGTGGTTGTTGGGTTGGTTTTTTAAAACTATTATTCCGAGGAATCGAGCCTACTCCTAGACGGGAATCATTTCCCCGTATAATGTCAAATCTGGCTGCAGTATACGTCTGCCGGATCCACAGAAGTGCACTCCAACTGTCTCTGACGGAAAAAATCGCTTTTATCTGCCCACTTTTCAAATTTGAAAAGCTGCTTCAGCAGTTGTCTTTCCAAAGATCTTATTTATGAATTTTTGGAAAGGCATATCAGAAAGTCGTCAACCTATAACAAGCTATTTATGCTTCTCTGGGGAACACCTTCCTCTTGTCGGTGAGGGCTGGAAAAAGAAGACCCAACACGAACATGGAAAGCACAATTTTGTAAAAAAGTTTCCTGTGAAGGAAGTGAGACTGAGAGAACCACTAAGCCAAGAGCGTGTAGGTGTTGAAGAATACCGTGCCGCCAGGTTGCACTGAAAGCTTTTTCCAGGTCGAAAAAGATAGTGACCAAGTGGCATCTTCGACAAATGTTTCATATAATAAGTCTCCAGGCGGTTTAGATGATCCAGGGTGGATTGAAATTTTCGAAATCCGCGCAGGAAACCACTTAATGATTTTGTGGTCTCGAGAAACCACACGAGTCTTCTGCTGATCTTTATTTATTTATTTTCTTCACGTTTGCATTGACATCACGGTAAGGTGACTGGTCTGTTGTTGGACAGAAGTGTGTGGTCTTTGCTTGAAATGGGTATAGGAATGACACCAGGAGTCGGGGAAAGTGTACATCTGTCTTAGGGAATTGCAGATTAATTATTTAAAAGGAGGTTGACTGTTTCTATGGGGAGGTCTCTGATGAATGTATTACTGTATTACATGTACTCAGATCCGAGATGCACGATTTGAGTTCGTGTAGTGTGAAGTGTGCGTTTTAAGTTATGTGCTGATTGAGTTGAAGTTAAGGTGGTATTGTTCACAGCTGGTTTAGATGTTCTGATAGGTCTTGATGCAGTTGATTTTGAATTAATTTTGCGATATAGATGTCTGTATGGTTTTTGCTATTTTTGTTGGTGTTGCTGCTGTTGTACCATCTGGTCTTTGGACGTATTGAATTATGTCAGAACTTTAACCTTTTCATTTGAATATGGTTTTGAAAACTTGGTTGACTGGTGTTCGGCTGCTTACTTTCTATATGAATTTCCCGAATGAGTGTTGTTTTCTCCTCCTAAGACTTCTACATGTCTCAGATCGAACCTTTTTGTACTGGATTGCTATTTTTTTTGTCTGTATTGCTGTTGTCAACGGCTCTCTGATATTTCTTTACGATTTTACTGCGTTAGTTTGTGGGCTGTTAATCATTGAACAATCTTTTCCGGCTTTTCCGGTCTACAGCCTGGGATTATTCTCCATCACTTCCTGGTGGCCATGGTGCCAAGTCCACCCCTGGTAAACTACCACCAATAAATGCGAAATGCTACCACGGGTCTGCTCATGACAGGAGCAAAATGTCTTCAAATGATCACTGTTTCCCTTCCGTAATTTGGGAACATCGCCGCCGTCAAATTCACCCATAGACTAGCTATAGACTCATAGGGAAGGGCTTTAGAAATTTTACAAATTTAAGTGTGAGAAGTGTGCACATCACTCGAAATTTGTTTCATTGCCACACAAACCCTGTCCACCAATTTTGGGCGACGATGCTCTTATAAGCAATCTCAAGCACTTATTATGTAAGCTAACAATTCAACTGGTAGAGTCTACCTAAAAAAGTT